AAAAGTATTCCAAACATTTAATATTAAATAATTTATTTTATTAGAGTATTATATATATATTTTAAAGTATTTATTATAATAATTTTTAATTATTATTATTATTTGATGATGTCTAATTTGTAGTGGTGGTGGGGGTGTAGATGCACTTAATGCCTTTTTCTCTCCCTTGTATACAGTGGTAAAGTGATGTTGGCTCAAAGTCAAATATTAGCTGGCTGAATAAAAGCTATTTTCTGTCCTCCTCATCTCATACTTGATCCACATAATTATATATATATATATATATATATATATATATATATATATACATACTTGAGATCATATAAGACCAATGATTTTTTATAAGACCCGTAAAATCAATTATCAACTCTTTGATTAGATCTACAACCTAACAATCTAAACATTCATAAACGTCACGAGACTTTTCAATAATCATAAAATTGCCATTGTATAATTTTGGAACATTAAATCATTAACTTATAAAATTGATCAATAAACATAAATTGGTCTTACGGGTCTCACAAAAAACTCTTAGTCTCATGTAAACCCAACCCTATATATATACAATTAAAATAATAAAAGTCAAAACAAATATTGAAATGGTCAAACATCAATTTGAGTTAATGGAATTTGATAGTTACATATTTTTAGGAAGAGTTGTTTACGTATAATATTTTGACCATTTCAACAATCCTATTTCAAACACTAATAATATGGATGTAAACGAGTCGAGTTTTTAAGAAGCTACTTGATCGTTATCTCGAACTTAATAATTCTCGAACTTGAGCGGTTGAGCGGAAATCAATATACTTCTAACATCGAATCAGGATCAACTAGGACAGAGATAAAGCATTGGGTTATCTCGAATACAAAATATAACTCATTCAACTTAACGAGTCGAGCTTTATAAAACCAATGTTCGACTCGACTCGTTTGAAAGCTCGATTAAATTTTTCTTGTCGAGCTGAGCCATTCAAGCGTAAACTTTTTGGGCCAAACATACTTGTATCTTCATAAATAATACAACAAAAATATAAATAATACAACAAAAAAAATTCGAATGAAAATTCTTAATACTTATTTATTTCTACTTAATTATGATTCATGGTACTAACATTCTTTAAAAATCTTAAATTTGAAAATATAATTACTTCAATTTATCAATTTTTATTATCTCATTTAACCATTTTCTTTATCGATACTTCATATTCAGCGAAACAATTTCTTTCTAAAGTATTGTTATGTATTTACGTCAATTTTAAAGTTGGATAAATTATTACGTATTTTGAATTATTTTACATAATTTTTGATTTTATATAAGTTTTGTTTTCATAAAAATATAACAAGATTTTTAATTCCGTTAGCCAGTGAGCAAGCTCGACCCGTTTATGGAACATGTATAGGTAAGTTTTCAAGCCCGTTAAAAAAAGGTTAAGTCCAACCCAGGCCCGCTCCAAACCTGCAAATGATCAACTTTAAACTTGACATCCACACCATCAATACACTAACAATTAAAAATTCTTATGGTATTTTGACTTTTAATTAATTCATATTATATATTTATATTATATTGTATTGTATTATTATATAAAATAAAAATAAAAATAAAAAACATGATTTATAACCATATATGTTTGTTCTAAATCGTTTTCAATAGTCTCGTCACGATACTATCATAAGAGTAGACGAGCCTATTTCAAACGGTCAATTGGTAAATAATTGATCACCAATTGTTTATTAAATTGTTTGATGTCGTTTTAATAGTTTTGGTGACGGTGACATTAAACTTCAATATCTCAATAGACCATACTTTGTCATGTTTATAACCTTAGACTAATAAATTCAAATTAAAAGGAAAAAAAAATGTTTGTTATTATCATTAGAAAGGTACTCGTGCAATTCAACAATATAAATCTCGATTTTAATGTTTAGTTTTATGCTTTGTCTTTATTGATATAATACAATTTTATGTGGTTTTGAGAAAACGATAATGTTTTTATTTTTGAATGAAATATAAATTTGAAGATAATATAAAATTTTGAAAAAAATAAATCGAATATTAGTATCAAATTAACTATTTAATAGTTGTCGTTTTTTTGGTGTAACTTCTTTAATTTAATTTTTTATTATAAATTTTAGATTTAATAATAAATTTATTTATTTTTGGGTTAATAATATAAATTTTTATAAAGATAATAATTAAACATTATGTTAGACCTCAATGATTATCTTAATTATATTTTAATTTTCTATATATTAATATGGATGTTTATCTTGTATTTGATTATATTTATTTGATGTTTATCCTTTTTAACGAGTTTGTAACTCCCACCGCAAACCTACTTGCTTTCTGCAATTTCATGTGTTGTTTTGTCATAATCATGCCTTTATCTACTAGAGATGGTCAAACGGGCCTTGTCCGGCCTGGGACAGACTTGGGATCGGCCCGGCTCGGGGGCGATTGAGACCGCCGATTAAGGATTGGTTACACTTTTTATCAAACAATAAGGTCTGGTCTAGAACGAGACCGGTTTTTTTTTTCTAAGAATGTTACGTTTTTTATAGCTGTCGGGACCGTCATACGACCGTTTTTTCCCAATTTGTTGAACATTTTTTGTCCTATTGACCCTCTACACACGTATGAGGGAAGATACTCGCTCACAAACACAAAAAAGACGTTCACAATCCTCACTATAACTCGTGATTTCGGCTCATATTCGGTTTCCGTTTTTAATAAATTATAATAAAATGTTCTTTTAAGAGTATTTTATTGCCTCGATTACATATTTTAAAGTGTATCATAATAACATTTTTGTATTCTTTTTAAAAAATTCAAACAAAAAAATCATATGTAAACAATCGATTCTTTCTTTAAAAAAAATGTCGGACCGATTTATGTCCGGTCAAGAACAGGGATTGGTTCTCAGAACCGGTTACAAAGTACCTTAACTGAGTCTTGGGTTTTTGGTCAGGACCGGTTACAAAAATAGTGTTTGGAACCGGGACCGATCTTTAATCTATCTCTACTGTCCACCAATCAGGTAATACCAATACAGAATTAAAAATAAAATGAATAATTATAAATTAATATTTAGTAAAGAAAGTGTGTATATATTATTGACATTATGTTGGAAAAACATTATATATATATACAAAAAAACAATTAAAATAATAAAAATAAAACAGAAAAAAGACAAAGGAAAGCATAGAGAAGACCAAACAAAAGTTGTAAGAATATGTTCCCCTTGGTCAACCCCTAACGCGGTCAAAGAGTCTATTTTACCATGTGTGTAAATTTCATAATATTTTAAAATTAAATTGTTTATAAATACTGTGTTAAAAAAACAACCGCTATACTTTTTAGTATAGATTATGAACTGTTTACCAATCATTTAACGGCTGTCAATTATCTTATAGGTGAGCATTATAAGGACCGAAAATGTTACATAGTAAGAGACATGACAACAACTAAGATAAGAACCTGGTAAGTGAAAGAGAAGACTTTTACCCGGTTAGTGCTCATCAGATAAAAGACGTTTACTAACAATTTATTTTGATAACTGAGAATATTGTCCAACAACAAAAATAAGAAAGAGATTCTTGTTGGTAAGCGATTACCCAGTAAACATTCAATAAACGACTCCTAAGTATCTGTACAACTTCATCCATACAAAACTTAATAAAAAACCAACCAAACAGCTCCTAGAACATTGGAGTGAAAAAGGTCAAATGCATTTCTTTAAAGCAAACAAAAGTATTATACAAATACAAAGTAAATGAAGGGGTGTTTCAATTCCATCAACAAACCTTTCAATCTAACTCCTAAATAAACCATAACTTCTATAAATCACAAGTTTAAGTTCATAACATACAAACACTTTCACTCGATTCCGATCCCGATCCCGATCTAAATACGCTCCCACTAGTGCCCAAAACGGTCGTTTTCTATGCACAAATCTTTCGTTCTTACCCTCGTTGTTCTTCGTTTTCGTCTTCAACCACGGTTGAAAGTCCATACTCTCTGATAAAAGATGGATTCAGGAATTTCGCCACGAAAACCCACAATTTATACACATCCTCAAAGTTGGTCAAGAACCCAAGTGAAGCGGTCACAACCTCGGCCCTAATGAACCCACCGCCATCATCTTTTTCGCCGTCCATCGGTCGGCATAGCGTTGTGTCGGCGAGATCCATGGGCCCACGGTTCTGTTTCATGCTTTCTACAATCCTTACGTGACTAAGAATCCCGACACCGAGTGAAATCCCGTTTGCTTCGGCCAATTTCTGAACGATTTCGGGACTGAATAGACCCCGGCTTCGGTTTCGTACGTTGAATGCGACAGATGCACCCCTTTCGTACTTTATTTTCGGACCGTAAATGTGAACGAGCGGGATTGAACCATTTGAGCCAGGTAATCGAAGTTGAAGTAACGAAGTCACGAGCCAATTGATCAAGAAACGTAGCCGGAGGGTGGTTTTGTTGAGACCCGAGAGGTTTACATGATCAAGATGCCTGCACGATATCTCGGGTTCTCTTCTTTCCGATTCTAACCCTTCGTAATCATCATCTTCCAACTGTTCCAGAGGATGGCGAAAGGTAAAATCGTCATTTTCTTCCAAACCGAACGATACCCTTTTGCTGCCTTCCCTTCTTCCGAGCAATCTGAACTCACCTTCTGTTTCTCTTCGTATAACAGAGCTCCCATTTCGTTTCTTTTCTTCGGATTCCTCCTGAATCTCGGGACCGTTTACATCCCGCTTATTTTCTTGAATCTCTCCTTCGAATTTATCCAGAATCTTGAATTTGTTAACAGCGGCATCGAAAGATAAAACTTTGCTCAAATGGGGCTCGAGATCCGTCTCTTTCTGGTTGCTTTTCTTGTTAACGGGTGATAAAGACCGTGATTCAAAGGGACTCTGCCCCAAATTAATCCAAACCGAATTCTCAGATGATTCGTCTTCGCTAAAAACCGGACTTTTCATAACCTCGATCGAAAAACTGTTTGTTTCTTCAAAAATGGAGCTCGATCCATCTTTATCTGAGGAGTTACCATGATCCATTTCGGTTTCAAAGACATCGCGCACCTCCGAAGGAGTAAAAGCACCAGAAAAGGCCGGTAATTGACCTCCGGCCCGACGTTCAGATATCACGTCGCCATTTCCACCAACTTCACCATCTTCAATCCCAGATAATGCCGGGATTCCGTCAACAGAATCGCCTAAAAACAGAGGAAAAACCGGACTGATCTTCACGATTCCGGAACCAGCATGACCCGATTGGTTATGAAGGCTCCCGATTACAGATTTCTTGATAAGAAGACACCCGAATCCAGTCGGATCGAACCCAAAAACTCTATAAAATGAAGTGATAATGAAATCGGGCCTAAATAAAGATAACCCAAGAGAATCCATATCTTTTGGACCCAATGCACCTGCATCAAGTAACACATGCCAATTGTTTTGTTGAGCCATTGCCATCCACTGATATGAATATTTCGAACCCGTGACTCTCGATTGAACCGGAAACACGAAAAGACCCGTGGCCGAATCTTTCTTCCTCTTTTTCTTGGTTAAAATCAGTTTTCTCAAATGGGGCGAACACGGTTGAAGCGTAGGCCATTTGAACCACGCGCTGTGAACCTTCGCACCCTTCTCTTTCGCACTTTGAGCCATCCAGTTCACCGATTGGCTCTCGTGATCGAACATCGTTAACAGCTTCTTATTCTTACTAAACGGGTACGATTCGGCTAAAAGTTTGAAAGCCGAACCTCTACTAACCGTAAAAACTAACCCGTATTCGCTCTCGGGGATGTTTAAGTAATCCATAATTCGAATCTTGATATCGTGTTCGACGGTTCCGATCTCTCCACCACCATAAAGAGCATGATTACTCAAATGAGCAGTGATTTCAGATAACCCAATCGTTGATGATTCCCAATAATTAACAGTTTGAAGAAATGAAAACAACCCAAATCCACAGTAATCAAGACATACCTTTGATACAGTTTCAGCCAAATGTGAATACTCATCTACCCTCAATTGATCAATCTTTTCAGATGATTTGTATTTTGGGTACATCATTAAGAACTTCAAGAAAGCTTCATTGAATTCAGGAATGGAGTCTTCACCTTCAAATGTTCTATCAGCAGCCATTGAAGTTGCTTTCAAGAACTCCTTTTGAGCTTGAAGTCTTGCTAATGATCTCGATCTTCCCAAGCTCTGATCTTGGATATCAATGGCGTCTGAAGAATCGATGTTTTGTGATTTAATCAAACACCCATCTTCAGATGCTTGTTCTAACGCTTCTCTGAGGTTATTTTCTTCCAGTTTTCGAAGAATCGATGGGTTTTTGTTGATTTCTGACCCATTTTTCCTTCTGTTCTTTTTATCTAAAAAAGAACAGTGTGAAATGATGGGTTTCCAGAGTGAAATATGCATGAATTAATGGAAGATATTCAAGAATTACAGATATGGAAAGAGGGTTTTGATGAGAAGGAAGATGGGATTCAAACGTGTTCTTGATTTTTGTGTGTTTATCCCATCTGATTTCCCCTAAAAAATGGAAAAAAATATAAAAAGAAAAGGGTTTAGTCTGAAACCCTAGATTCAAAAAAGCAAAAGTTGATAACTTTGAAGGATTTCAGAATCAAAAACCTTTGATTCAAACTTCAAAAGACCCAAAATTGAGGAGGGAAACACCATCACCCACATAAAAGCTTTCCTTCTAAAGAGGAATAAATTCAAAAAACACACAGAAACACCAAGAACACACACTCAAGAAAGTTATACACATACACAGACACATGCACAGAGTGTAAAAAGAATACTGAAAGCAATGGTTTTTGTCCCCCCAAGTTTTGGTTGAATATGGAAGAAAGAGTGAAGATGACTTCAGTTTTCAAAACCCTAAATAATGAACCCTAATTTAATGCAAAAACCTTCCAATGATTTATTATCAGAGGTGAAGGGGGGGACTGAAATAGCTCAAATATTCATTATCCTGTCTTCAACTTCCACTTGTGGTTTCGTGGAAAGAAAAGGAAACAAAGAGAGAAAATAATCAATTTATATAAAAATAAATAGATTTTATTTATTTTTGTTATAATTATGATTGACTAGAAGCGTACTCGCACAATGCAGCGAGATGCATCATGATTTTAATATTTCATTTTCTTCTTTATCTCAGTYRATATTATAATATGGCTTTATGTGATTTTGAGAAAGTGATAATGTTTTTATTTTTGAATAAAATATATGTTTGAAGATATCATAAAAATTTGACAAAAATATATCGATATTA